TTTTTCAAAACTAATAACTACACATTTTTATAATTTATAATTTAATAATTGGTATGGTCAATTTTTAAGTTATTAGCCTTTCTATTATTTAGGATTGAAAAATCAGTCCTATCTCCTTTGATAAAAGAGTTTAGAATAAACCATGTATAATTTTGTGACATTCTGATTTAACGAAGGTGATGACAGTGACAACAGACCGACTGCATAACACGATTGTAGAAATCGATCTATTTTTCATTATATTGACTCAAAATGAGTATTATTGAACGAAGAGGTTGCATGCTTTAATAGACATTTTTTTCCCTAAAAGCAATGGCGGACCCACTAAGGGTCCCATGGGGTCCTGGGACCCCGTGGTCTTTGAAAAATTTACCTATATATATTACATATATTTTACAAAATTTACCTGTATATATTTATGTATATATAAAACATGTGCGATTGGATATCAAATGGATGCAGCGGTGTAGTGGTAGCATGTGTGTGCTGAAAGACATATTGTTCATGCCTAGTGGTCATTTTTTCCTTTTGGCGTTTTTTTAAAACTTGTTATCTGAGACCACGGCAAATCTATTGCCATCCGCGTATCTCCTTCAGACCTCAACCACTTCTTATTAATTCAATTTTTTAAATTAACTATAAAATTTCTTTGAATGGTAAGATTAAATTAACAAATTTATGTATTTATGAATGTTTGTTTTTTGAAATTTTACGATTAAGGATAAAAAGGTATTTCGATAGTGTACCCAAATTTAAACAAATTCGGAGTACCGAGAGTAGTTAAGATATTCAATCAAATGATTTGTCTTTAGTAAATAAAGAATTTGATCTAGTACTTGCTGAAAGTGAAATTAATTTGGCGTATAATCTACATGAGCAACATACTGATGTCATCCTAATGTTCAAGAGAGGGTACGCCGTAGTTGTTGTAAAAAAGGGTCGTTTCAACTTCGGGATCATGATTTCCCTATTAAAGTAATTGACGGGAAAAAGCGTAGATTTGTTTCAAGTTGGTTTGATGAGCATAAATGGTTGGAATACAGTATTGCCAAAGATGCTGCATTTTGTTTACCGTGTTATTTGTTTAGGAATGAGTGAAAAGTTAGTGGTAATCATTTTTTGGGAATATGATTTTCAGTATGGAATAAAAAAACATGTTTTATGTACACGTTGGTGGACCTATATATTAGGGGTTTGATCAATTCAGGACCCGAAAGATAGATTAATTATCAATTCAGGACCCGAAAGATGAAACGTATCGGTATAGGACCCGAATGATGAAAAACTATCAATTTAGGACCTAATATTTCATAGGTTTCGATTTATTTAATTTTTTTTATTAAATCCATTACTAATTTTTGATAAACTTTTCTTCACAAAAGTTTATTAGTTTAATAAAACTAATCAATATTTAAAATTTTTAAAATAAAAATAACAATAAAATCCATGACAACTTAGGTCCTAGATTGATAGTTTCCAATCATTCAGGTCCTAAAATATTAAGAACATTCATGTTAACTAAAGAATAATGGATAGGAACATTTAAATGGAACAGATGTTGTACTAAAAGTCTATTATTGTCATAAGATGAAGAGTAAATAGGGTGAAAAAAATTTATCCTCCAATTGAAGATGGAATAATTGAAAATAAATTAAATGAAAAGAGATACTCTCCGTCCTAAGTTGAGTTACAAAATTGACTTTTTGAGTCAAATAGATTCATTTTATTCACTTAATTAGGATATCAATTCTTAATTAAATTTTAATTTGGATTTTATAACTTTATAGATATTTTGATGTAGTAATTATTTGAGAGTATTTTCGGAAAAATATTAGGTCATTCTCGAGAATGTCAGATAATCTAAGAAATGTAACTTTCCCGGTTTTTTATAAACTCCCCGAACCAATTAAATATGGACATCTAACATCTTATGCATCACATTCCGGTATTCGATCATGTGAGATTACCCTAAACCAAACAGGCCCTAAGACAAATGTGTATTTAGAAAATTTTAACACATGAGTCTTATTTTTATCCGGGTAAAATTATAGTTTTATAAACTACATAGAATAATGTAAGAAACGTATTTAAGGGTGCCGCTTCTACTCCATGACATCTAAAGAGCACATGTTACTAAAAAAGATGCCGCTATATAATTCAATAGTCATAACACCCGGTACTTAGTTTGTGTTAAAAATACTACGTAACATTTTTGCCATCAATGGTGATATGAGACAATTAGCTTTATTGATGTCATATATTTGCTGCTTCAAATAAAAAATTGATGAAGTAAAAAATGAATATGTGGATATGAACGCCTTTCAAATAAAACATAACGAACGTTTGCACTTAAAAATCTTAAGCACAATCTATATGACATCATTTAATTGTGAAACTCAACCAGGAAATAAATGTTGGTTCTGTGATTTGGGAGTACTTACTAAAAATCTAGCATTACTATGGGCTTTGCGAAAACGTTATCCAATACATTGAAATTTTAAGCACTTTTACTACTTATGCAATGTACGCTTACACTTCCCACAAGGGAAAAGGTGAGATTTTCCACTAAGCCAATGCTCTCCGGAACTCATATTACCGAGATGATTAGAGAAAAATAAGGAGTATTCTAAACGGTAATTGAATGTTAATTATTTGAGCTAAAATAACAACCAAAACTAATGATTTTAATAGATTTGAAGTATTTAAAAATTGCTCCCTCTATCCATTAAAAATTTTCCAAGTTGACTGGCATAGATAATAATTATGTAACAACCGTGTAATTGAGATTTGTGAAGAAGATCGGAGAAAGAAAGAAATAACAGCAATCATAATTTTTCCAAGTTGGCCGGCCCGTTTAAAAAGTGATGACTTTTGATGTGTTTTTTGTAACAATCGGAGTACAAATAAAAAATTTATCACTTTAAAAAGAATAAGGTGTAAATTAATTTTTTTATTTTTGTATATTGAATATTGGTGTCATTTGAAAGCTAATAAAAAGTTATGAAATTTGATGTAATTTTTGGAACAATCAGATTACAAATGAAAAAGTTATAACATTTTAAAATAAACATGAGATTGGATATTGGTAGGATCCTAAATAAAAGGAATTTAAGAAGTATTCAATTATCAATAATACGGATTATTAGTGACTCCGTGTATTACTTGTGCATAGATTCCTTTAATTTGGAAAGTAATGTTTAAACAATAATAATTGTGGAGTTGATTGTGGAGTTGACATGTGGCAACACTTTCCCTAATTGTAACCTTGAATTGTATTATCTATAGATAACATTTATTTCATATATATATATATATATATTAAATGGGGTGGTTGTGTTTAACTGGTACGTAGTATAACTAAAATTGGGTTTTTAAATACTTGGGTTGTGTTTGTTCTAAATAATAATTGGGCTACTTTTGATTCAATTTTTAATTCGATTTGTTTCTATCACTCCTTATCATATTATAATATTTGTTGGTTGAATGTGATTAACTAATATAGACTATTTAGAGTTTTATCATATACACACATATAAATTATACTACGATCAGAATTCCAAGTTTAAAATCCATCCATTTTATGTGATGACTATATATAAAAAAATAGTTAAAGTCATATTTTATCGTATGTTAGACTCTTATAAAAAAATCGATATTTATTCCTTCTTATCTTAAAATATACTCCGTATCGATTATGATTCGTAACTATCTTTTCCTTAATTAAAATTTATTTTGTGCATTATGTCTATACTCTATGCATTCATTTACACATTAATTAATATTGCTAATTTAACAAATACTCCGTAATATACTACAACTACTACATAATATATGTCTCGTGCATCGCACGGGTGAGAATCTAGTGGGTTACAAACACATGGTAGAAAGAAAGTGTAATTTATAATTAATTCTTTAGTCTAAAAAGTGCACATCTACCAATTTTTTAGGCTTCAATGTGTCAAAAAAATTCAAACATTTCAATTTCAAAAGCAATCTTAATTTTCTAATTCTGTAAACTTAAAGTATGGAATATTTAAATGGCATGCTAGTGCTAATGATATTTTTTTTATACTACGTACAAAAAATAGGAAGAGGCCCTAAACTTCGAGTATCCATCCTGGATACTCAAAGGAGTCGAAGGCTTCTTCTTCTATTCATCATCTTGTTCTTCTTCATCCCGATAATGCGTTTGGCGGCGCAAAACAGCTCTTAATGTTTCTAGCCGGCGCAAAACAGCACAATCAACAGCAAAACAGCTCTTCATCGTACCTGCCCACCCTTGTTTCCTTAGTTCCTCCTCTAGTCCTCTACTTTGAGAACAGTTTGGATCGGAGGTACCCTGGAAATAATATCCACACCAGCACCTTTGTTGATGGGAAAAAAGGGGTCCCCAACATTTTGCAGAAAGGGTAGGCTGAAGCATCGAAGGCATCTTCCCAATTAGGGGCAGCTTACAAGGATGTTTAGTAGGTCGTTGTAGGGGTGGACTCGGGCGGGGTGGCCCGACCCGGAACCGGCCTGGCCCGGCACTGTTCCGGCCCGGCCCGGTCAGTGACCGGTCCGGGTAGGGCCCCCCAAATCACGAACCAGTCCAGCCTGTTCGGGCCCGGTTCCAGGCCTTTTTAATTTTTTTTTTCAATTTTTTTTTACTTTTTGGGTTGGGCTGGGTATTTTGGGTCATTTGGGGTGGTTTGGGGTGGTTTAGGGGTGAGGGGAGGGTTGGGGGTTAACTAGGAAAAGAGAAAAAAAAAAACAATAATAACTAAGGCCCGGCCCGACCCGGAACCGGGGATTACCCAGGCCGGTTCCGGGCCCCCATTCCTGAACCGGAGGCCCGACCGGGCCTAGGCCCGGCCCGGGCCCGAACCGGCCCGAGTCCACCCATAGGTCGTTGGTTACTTCAATTGTTTAGAAAAGGTTTTCCGAACAAATTTAGATTATAAGGACATATCCACATTTGGGATTAATTAATAATAATAGAAGTAGAAGGGAAGGGCACTAATAGTTAGGATTATTAGTATGAACTTTCCAAAGAAAAAAAAATAGACGAAAAACAATTCTTCACTCCAAAGTTTAACCCTATAAGGATTTCCATGCAAAATAAGCTTAAATATCTGAACTAAAATAATTATATTGCAACACACTAACAACTGTTTTTTTTCTAAAATAAACGAAAAGCAATAAAACATAAGGACAATAGGGCGAGCAAATTATGAAGAGCAAACACTTCTTCACATTTCCAATAACATTTGGTTTGCTATTCTGCTACAGAGCACTAAGCCTTCAAATATTAGCATATCCATGAGATTCCCCAGTTTTGCATTGTTAAGCTAATACTGGTATATGTTAACTAGTCATGGCGGAGAACAGTTCAAGAACTGGTGAGGGAAAGAAATCTGTTCAAAGGGATTGCCTGTTTTATTTTTTTGGACGATATTCATGTCTTAACCCGTAGAAGCAAGACTTCACAACCTTCCAAGAGCTATGCAGTCCCCAGTTTGTCAGGATTTTACACATTTGATATATACATCGTCAAATGTGATCATTATAGTTTAAGGGTTGATAGCGATGCAACATCCTCTGAAGCCATCTCCTACGTGGCTCCGGGTTTAAACAGACAAAACATTCCCTTTCTTCAGGATCCCTTAGGATGTCAAGGGCATCTAGATACATGGCGCTTGATTGGGGGATGTCTTCCATCTCATTCAAACACTTAATGGCAATAAATATCGAAGTGTCAGGACCACCCATGTCCAGTGAAGTCTTTAAGCACGTACCTTTTGGAAGATGTTCATTAATGAGTTTACTGATGCTACTTAAACAAGCCTTCAACTCATTCATCCATGCATCTCCTCCGCTAGTTTGAGACTTTCCAGATGGTGTCTTGGGACTTTTACCATAAGAAGGGCCCACAAATTCACCATTTGAGCAAACATAAGGCATCCCCACGGGCAATACCTCCTCGTGCATATCAACTGACTGTTCAATAGGTGCTTGATGATCATACTTCCATGGTAAAGAGACCGCCTTCCGCTCTGAGCAACCCTTTTTGTCGAGCTTCACGACTGGGCAGCCACCTTCAGTTAGGTGGCGTAGTAAATTGGTGGTCCCAGACCTGCTTGCGCAAGCAAAAACCTTGTTACAGTGGCTGCACTTGCATTTCTCATATGTCCCGTCCTCCTTCATGAGCTTCGTGAAATGCTGCCAGACAACTGATCTCGACTTCCCCTCCCGCTTTTGTTTCTCGTCCATATTTGTGTCTGTCTGGTACGCAACTTCCATAGCGCTTTCGTCATTTCCATCAGCCATCTAGAGAAAAATGGAAACCAAACTGTCATATCTTCCATCAGCCATCGTCAAAAACTTGCAAAATGAATGGCATGGGGCACAAAAGTCACTTTTTTTGCATGAAGTGTTAAGTAATTGTAGATATTAATTACAGGGTCATGCCTAACCATAGCCTTTAGAGCTAAGAATCCTATGATTAAGTATTAATAAGAAAGGACAATAATTTTCATGATTTTTGTGGATACTCTAAATCATCAAAGTAAATTCTTCATACTCAACATGCCAACAAGTAACTCATTGAAGGATCTCATCAACACTTAAAACTTTTTGTATCTTCAAATCAAAAATAGTATTCTAATCATCAATTCATCATTAGTGCGTTGATGGTTAACATTTCCTAATGCCTTTATTTGAGACTGTTATTGAAATGGCTGAAAATGACATTCCTGCCTTTACTTTTGACATTGTTTTCTCCAATTATATACATGTGTATACATACGAGTGTGCACATACACACACACATATATATGAATAAGTTATCTAGTTCAGCAGATTCGGCCATTTTAAAGTATTACTTCAGCAGCTTTATCTGATTCAGCCATTTCATATTTTCAAGTCCTACCAAAAGGCTCTAAACAAGAAATTTGATGCCACTAATTCAAACTAGTTGGGCGGGGATTAAGGTGCTGATAATGATGATGATGATAATGACGAATAATAATAAATGATAAATCAGAGTTCAATCTGAGCATAAAACTATAAATTTCAAGTCAATGACACCTACTAGTTGGAACTTGGAACTAAAGTCCCAATAAGGATGATGATGATTAAAGTACAGAACATGACCAAATTTATGAATCTGTGTGGGCCACATTTGTGCAACTTTACACAGTGATACCATATGTTTCTTTTCTTCCTATGATAGAAAATAGCTGACATGTTCCTACTTACCAAAGCCACACTAAGTTTAATCTGCTATACATTTAAGTGTTTAATCATTCAGATATTTCACGTTCTCATGGCGCGCAATCGCACATAAAATGATTGAGAATCTGTGCAACACAGAGATGGAGAAGCAGAAAAATGGGACGAGATACAGGAAAAAAAGACAACACTCGAAGAAAGTATGAGACAAAACATTGATACAACAACATTTAAGGCTTAGTCCCAAAAGAGTTTGGGGCCGGCTAACGGACAATGACATTAGAGTTAAAAATTAGTAATTTCTCTAAATAGGATTAAAAGTCAACCTATGTGCATTAATAGGACTATATGTTCATAATTTAGGACTTATTTGATTTTATTAGAAGTATAAAACTTCTTCAATTAGGAGTGAATGAGCCTTATTTTGGGGAGAAAACAATGGTGGTCCTATTTGTACACTTTGTCTATGTTTTAGTCCTATTTAATGAATCTTCTGAAAAAAATATTTTGTTGAAAATGATATATATCTGAAGAGACAAAATACTGATGAAAGGTGTAAATTAACAAAGTGTAGGGCTTCATTAAAAAAACTGCAGAGCTAATATTTGCAATCATTTTACAAACATATATTAATTCAATATATTATTAAATTGCAGTATATGAATAACTGAATCAATTTAAAAAAAGAATTGCAATTTTATACTTCCGCAGCTCGCAGCTTCGAGTTTCATCATTCTTTTTACCATTAATGAATATCAGCTCCATTTCAAACACATGTAAAGATATACAAACATATATTAGATCATGGAAGCAATGGAAATGGAAGTATACCAAGTGAAGACCAACACAGCAGTATCATATCTGAATAAGAAAAGGATACTGATCCAAGGTGAATCAGAAATTTTCACTATCCTAAGTTCTAGACTGTGATCGTTAAGCGTTTTCTCAGCCAGTGACTCTTCTCACCGATCCTTACGATTCTTAATCACAACCTAGCATTTCTATGACAACGCAATATGAAGGCTAGGATTTGGAAAACTTGCCGGGAAGTTGAAGGAGACGCACTCCGCGGCGATGGCCTCAGCTTGCATCTGATAGATGGTGGTCGGGCCCTCAGGAGTCCAGAGGGTTTGAACTGACAGGGCCTGATTAGGGGGCGGGTTTTGGGATGGACAATATGAATACTTCCGGGACCACGAGACTTTATCAATTTTCCCTTTTTTGTCGTTCCCAAAAAACTTTGTCAATTTTTCTTTAAAGCGACTAATTTGTGTTTCTGCACAATTCTCTCTCTTATGCACAAATATCAACTACACGAATTTTGTTATTCTTATTTCTCACCTACTTTGCATTTGACAAAGTCCACCGAGACGGGGTAGTATTAAAAACATGTTTTTATGCTTGGTTTTATGGCATTATTATTCCAATATTACTAAAAATAGGATAAACGATAAAAAAAAGTGATCTATTTTTAAAAATTCTAAAAATGTGTAAAGTGACTCCGATCAAAGTGACCACACCGACCACAGTGACTGCCCCACCGACCACAGTGACTGCCCGGCCGCCGCAGTGACTCCGGCCAAATTGACTCCGACCAAAGTGACTCCGCCGATCACAGTGACTCCCGCTTATCGGCCATAATGACCACCGCTCACTGGCCACAGTGACTCCTGTTACGGTGACTGCTTTCTCACCGGCCAGTGACTGCCGCCACTATCGCCAATGACTCCGCCGCCATCGACAATGACTCTGCCGGGCAGTCACTACCCCGGCTGCCCCCCTCACTCGGCAAGTCACTGCCGTTGTACGCCCCTTTCATTGAACCACCTCAAATCAACCACCCCGGCCGACCAGGCGCCCACCGCACCCCAACCTAAGCCCCAACCCCTGTGCACCATTGGCAACCACGCCCTCTACACTGCCCCTCCCTGTCACAGTCGTGGCCATCACTACGGCCGACCACCGCCACAGCCTAGTGACCAACACCACTTCCCTACCCTGACTTGACTCCCCAGAATCCCAGCCCCAGCCACCAACTCCATCATCTCCAGCCACCCTAATCGCTGCCGCACACCAATCCACCCCTTTCAGCCCCAATACACCCCTCTCAGCCTCAATCCACCCCTCCCAGCCCTAATTCACCCTCCTAGCCCCACATTTGACAGTCCAACCCAGCCCCTACCACCACCAATGAACCCTATCCGCCGTCCTCCGCCAGATCTGGCCGCTTGCCAGATCCGTCTTTTGATTCGAGGTGTATCCGAAGTAGAGAGAAGAAGAACAGTGAAAGCAACAACAAAGAGAGGTGCAGCGGCGAAGGCAGAGAAGGCATCGACGATGCTGGACAACGCAAGCGGTTGCGACGAGAAGAAGTGCAGAGCAGCAACGGCGTCGATAGATCAGTTTCACGGCGTCGATGGCTCAGTTTCACAGCGTCGGTGGCTTGGTGATTTGCGGACAAGAAAGGAGAAGAATAATAATAATAAAGGAAGATCGGCGAGGCAAATCCCTAGTTCGAGGTTCGTCGGCCTTCGCGGACCGGCGGAGATGCAGCTGATGAGGGACGACGAGGCTCAGGCAGGCGGATCGGCGGAGAGAAGGCGCCATGGCCGTGCGGAGAGAAGAGGCGCATCAACCTCGTGCAGAAATGAAGGAAGACCACGTCATGGCCAGTGGTTTATGACGGGAGAGAAAAGTCTCGGCCTGTGTTGTGCATCTGTGCGGAGAGAGACGTGGGGAGAGAAGCCCGAATCACATTTTTTGAAAAAGAAAAAGGGTTATATTTTTAGAATTTGAAAAGTCAAAAGTCATAGACCGGCAATTCTTTCTAGTTTTATCTGTCTTAGTTTTTTATGGGGCAAAATGCCCGGATCTTATGCTTTTTTGGTGTAGGATTCGGGCTGTTTCACATAGCACTCTAGCAGCATGACACTTTTATTGATTTTACAGATTCAGAAGAAGAAACTATATCTGAACCTATGTATATTTTAATGAAATATTATCAATTTTAATTAATGTCAGGTTTGGACGGGTTCGAATTGGGTTTCAGGTTGAATCAGATTGAAAAGACCCCATTTGGAATAACGAATGTACCATATACTCCCTCCATTTCTGAATCAAAGTCACACTTTCCTTTTTTGAATGTTTCAAAAACAAAGTCACACTTCCTTTATTTCCTTTTTTTGTCAAAGAAATCTATATCAAAACAGTGCGAAACAGTGTCAAACAGTATTCTCTACAGTAAAATTTATCCCTCAATAAATTTATTTTCTTAATAAGTGTGAAGTTAAACTGTGACTTTCTTTTGGAAATGGCGGGAGTACAAAGTTTATCAAACCAAATGAAACTTAAACAGACTAGTCCAAACTTCTATAGTTATATACGGATAAAATATATAGATACTCCATCCGGTCCTTATTAAAGTTCTCACTTTCTTTTTCGGGATGTCCCTTATTTAAGTTCACACTTCCATTTTAGGAAACAAAACAGTGCAAACCAGTGTCCCAACAGTGCCAAACAGTGCACTTCACATTAAAGTTAAATTTATTTTTTTAATTTGTGTGAAGTCAAACTGGGAACTTTAATAAGGACTTGAGGTAGTATATCACCAAAAAAAATGATTGTGGTTAATATAACCAAAACAACCTCCATGATGGTACACAAATTTCAATCCAGTGTGGTGTGGTCAATTCTCCATATCGTGAAGTCAATCGAGAGCACAGTTTCTTCAGTTCTTCACAACACTGCTTCGCATCTCGAATTATATCTCCACCCTCGATGGGTGTGTTTGAATTTTGTAATTTAGTGGTTGAGTAATCAAGGGTCATCTGTTGTTCTCCAAGCGTTAATCTGTGCAGCCACTGACATTCTAATGTTTTGGTAATTATTTTCATCGCTGTGTTTTGACCTTTCTCTTTTATTGACTTGAACATTGAAAAACAAAGAACTTCTAAGATTTGAGGCAAGATTCTCTGATCTACTAAAACTTCAGCAGAGTGGGAGGAAAGGATGTAAAGCTAGGTGATTGTTCTGTATTATTGTCTCCTCCTATCTGCTTGTGATTATTCTCATAGTAGTTTAGGATTTTCTTTTTCTTGGACTTTTTAATCCCCCCCCCCCCCCCCCCCCGGAATTAGTAAACTGCAACTACCCTTTCACTTTTATACCCTATATGATAAGCAAGGCTTGACAATGACATTCACAATGATAACTGTAATTTCAAATGTGTTTCACCCTTATTTACTTGATACTTGAAATGTTAGCGTCTTCTTATGTTATATAGCTAGATTGATCTTGTAAGGCCGCGATATCTATGTGAATTAAAGATTGTTCCAAACTGGTGGTATGACTTTTTTCGGTTGCTGTTCTGGAACAATAGCATCTCCCCCAAGGCATCAAATAGACATTGAAGAAGGTAGAAAAAAGACAAAGAATCTGATTCAAACATGATGTTCTTAATCCTGGAAGTAGAAATACAATTCATGTGTGTTCTTCCTTCACATTTAGATTCTAAATTGGTTAAGAAATTGGTACAGAAGTTTCAAGCTGTCAGAATGCTAAGATATACAGTTATAGGGAATTGCGGATGGCAACTGAAGACTTCAGCCTCTCAAATATGATTGGAAAAGGAGGGTTTGGATCTGTGTACAAAGTATAATATTCTAATCTTTTTCTTCAATAAATGTCTATTTTTGGCCCTATAGCATTAGGTCATCCTCATTTTCAGCCTCCAACTTTAATATTTACCACTTTTGATGTGGAACTATGTATTTCTTGGCAGCTCATGTCCTTTCCAGCCATATTCTTGAAAAATAATCAGAAATTACCCTGGAAGCACCAAAAGTAACAAGAAATATATGGTCATGCACTGATGCACCATAAGTGGATATATTGAAAATCGGGGACCAAAAGATGGAATTGTCTAATAGTCTTGGAACCAGAAAAGAATATTATAAAATATAATTTCATTAAGTTTCTGTAGTTTTTTCATATATTGTATTGGTACTGAAGTTTATCTATTGACTCTTAGGGGCGACTAAGAGATGGAACTTTGACTGCGGTTAAAGTTCTCTCTGCTGAATCCAAGCAAGGTGATAAAGAATTTTTGACAGAAATAGTTGTTATCTCTGGCTTAGAACATGAAAATTTGGTGAAATTGTATGGTTGTTGCCTTGAAGAGGATGCTAGGATCTTAGTATATGCCTATATGGAAAACAATAGCCTCGCTCAAACTCTTCTTGGTGATTTTCTCTTCCTCTCTCTCACTCTCTCTCACTATGCCCTCATTTGGTTTTTTATTCAGGGTCAATGGAGGATCTAAAAAGAAGATCAAAACTATCAATCTTTAGGACCTGAGTAAATGAAATTATGAATTTATAATTCTAATTTTAATGACGAACTTGATATTATTTTTATTTTATGTATTCTTTTATTAAAGAAATTCATGATTTTTGAAGTCATAGATTGATGGTTTCAACCAGGGTAATGAAGTTATAATTTTCATTTTCGAGGTTCTTGATTGATAGGTAAACGGTAAACCTATATTTCAAATCCTAAATCCATAAAACTCATACTTTGTATATATATGGTGACTTTCCAATAAGAAGAAGCCTTTAGGTGAGAATTTAGAATAAATTTCAGCCGTCGGATTCGATTATATTGCAATAAAAGAGCTTCATGTTGCGCTGAAATATGCATCCATGTGCGGTGGCATTTTCGTAAATACTTTTGAAAAAATCTGTGTCATGCCTCTTTAGTGCAGCATGAAGCTCTATAAGTGCAACATCATTAAATTCTAATGCAACGTGGAACGGTTTTGGTGCAGCATCGTAAAATTTAACTAATGCATCATGAAGATATTTTAGCATAACATTTCAAGTACAATATTGAGATTCATTTTCATTTCTCAAATTAGATGCACTTCTTATGTGATATATATATATATATATATATATATATATATATAGAGAGAGAGAGAGAGAGAGAGAGAGAGAGAGCTATTCCTGCCCGGAATTTCCGGACAGGAGCCCCGTCCGGCCTCCTCCATTTGGGGGCCTTCCCGGTGGTATTTTTTGCTCAATTTTTTTTGTATGTTCCTCATCAAGTTTAGTTCACCTGTATTTTCCTGACCAGTTAACTTGCAAAAATCATTTGACGACCTTCCCGATTG